TAGAAGTGTGAAAAGGAGCTGCTGTTACAGATTCTACTACATTTACTCAGAACTGTAGCTACCAATGAAAATTAATTAACTTTTTCTGATGTAAATCCTATTTACCTCTAAATTAAACTGAGTGTTCCCAAGTCTTTGGGAGGCTTGGGCATGAGACTCCACAGAGAAATCGTGACTTTAACTTATGATAGAAGTACTCCACGTTTTTTACACTGAAATTGCTGTCTGGGCTGATTTACGTCTGTGAATCTACATTTTATGTCTGTAGCGCAGCTCCTGACAACTGCAATGACTGGTTCCCCAATTTAGGGCTGTTACTGAAGCTCCAGATTATAACCTTACTGATCAGGAGACTAAGTGTTCTTTGTTTGTGGAGGGAAGTGCATGTTGTGTGTAGAAAGATGAAGTATTAAAACTGATTGGACTTTATGGAGCTGAGGTATGTACTTGCAAGTCTCTTTCCTGGTTCATCTCATCAGCAAGAGCTGGATCTGTTACTCCTTCCTCTGCAGTGTGGGCCCTACTGCAGTAAGGCTTTTGAAGTTTGTGCTTATTAATCATATTGATGTGTTGGAAGAACCAGGCTGACACTCCATGTTATGCTAATCTGGGCTAGTGGAGTCTGCGTGTTGTTCTGGTGGGTCCCACGCTTGCTGCTGGTCCTGCTCATGGAAGTTGCTTGTGGATCTGGGTCCTAAGGCTGACTTGCCAGTTCTGGGTGGGAGCAAGGTAGCAGGAGCTTCCTGCTAGTGGTGGCTAGCTGCCCATTCAGTGATAGGTGAAGCAAAAACGCTCAGTAACTTCAGGGGTTGCTTTGCCAAGAAATTCATGTAATGCTGTCAGCTATTTAACAAGATAAATACTTCACTGGGGCTTTTGTCTTGAGTATTTTGATTCTAAGCCAACAAATCCCCAGTGAAATTGTTTCTTGCATAGCTGAGAGCAGAAGCAGTCCTCTTGGGTAACTAGAGTCTTCAGGATTGGGGTTCTAAATATTGCCAGCTTTCACAGTAGTCCTTGCTACTGGGTGAACACAGGGCAAAAATACCCAATTCTGAACTTCTGACACCTTAAACTAGGAGCTTTCTGGTGATAGGGAGTCTTGGGAAGCAATTGTCTCATGCAGGGGTTAACATGGGGATCTGATAGTAGTTGCCCTGTGGAGATTGGGGTTCTTGTACTGGGCTGGTTTGTTTGAAATGAGCTCTTGTGCTATTCTCAAGCATCCTAACAGCTCTGGAGAACTGCCTTGCTCTTGGGTAGGCTGAGAATGCAGCAGTGCTGGCATGCACTTTCTCATGTAGGGCATTGATTCTTGATTTCGGTATTCACGGGAGTGTATGAGCCCCTACAGCAAATCCTGGCGAACATGTGAGGTGTTGAGAGGAGCACAGACTGCAGAAGTGGTAGACCTAGAGTTCTTGGACGTTGGACAGCATCAGGCATTGAAACTTGTCTTTGATCTCAAAGCAAACAAGAGACTGTTCCAAGAGTTTACAATAAAAAAAAGGTACTTTTTTTTGCCTGTGTGATGCAGTGCTCCTGTGTGTGCTTCAGTAAGCAGGAGGCAGGTAGGGCAAACAAACCAGCGTGTGCCTTTTTATGGATCTCGTGACATCATGAGCTGCTGAGTTGCACTAGGTACAAGGAGCTAGTAGGGAAACTAATACTTGTTAATCTTGATTACAAGAGTGCCCTATCATACCCTTCCTTCTCATGGTCTTGACTTCTTGAATTAGTAAGGCAAGCTGCAATTTCAGCTGCTTTCACTTGTCTGCACAGCACTGCTGTAGTTATTTTGGTCTGACTGAGCCATGGCTTGAGTGTCAGCGTACTCATGGGGAGCAGGGAGAGGTGTGTGCCCAATCCACTCTGCTGGAATAGGGGATGCCTCCCTGAGCATCAGGAATGGCTTCATACAGCATGAAGCACTCAGTTTCTCACACTAGTGAGATCTCTCACATCTAGTGCAGATCCAGGCTGTGTAGTTTAGCTGGCTGTTACTTCTGCATTCAGCAGAGTGGAGTTCTGTTTCTGATGGGAACATAGAAATCCTCAAAGATGTTGGCATTAGCAAAAAGTGCCAAAGTGGTCCTCCTGTAATGGAGAGTTCTCGCTGTCTGCAGCTTTGGTAGTTGCTCATGTCAATTATTTGGTCTTTCTCTGGATGTCAGCAGAAATACTAAGCTGGTCATTCTGATCTTGTGGATGTTCTTAGCCTGAGACCCTTAGAGATGGCTGCAGTTAGGGTCATCTGAACTGCATAAATTCCACCCAAACATCTGAAAGATCTGGCAGCTTCAGGTGGACATGAATTCATATAATCCTGCAGCCAAACTTCAAGCCATCTTTAGATGATGATCAGGTTCTCCATAATTAAAAGTGGTCACAGACTCTGTGCTTGACTGCTTGCTCTGATCAGTAGCTCTCAGTGATGAGTTGGACATACAGACATGCTTGCTTAATTCTGAGTTCACGTGGCACAACCAGATAGCTAAATGACTTAAGATCTGTGAAATACAGATCACACTAAGACTTGAGGATGTCAACAAGCTCATTTCCTTGTTTTCTCTGGGAAGCACCCCTATCATATTTCAGGAGGTCATAACTCAGTAGAGGCATGATTCACGTGGTATTTAATGTGCAGAATGTTAGTCTGAAACAGCAACAGAGCTTACGTATTGCTGATAGACTGCCCTGGTAAATGAATACAAGGTTAAACAAGCAAAAGCTGTTCCTTTGCAAACTCTGGTTAGAGGAGAAACTCTAAAAGGTGGAAACTTTTTCAGGCTGGTAGAGATGTAGAGCTGCTGCTGTCTCTCGAACCTGGTGGTAACCAAGCTGCTCCTGGCCGGAGCTGCAAAATGCTGCTTCCTCAGCATCCAGCAAAACAAGTTGCTGATTTCCTTCTTATTAAGCTTTCTCATCCTGTCAAAACAGTGTTTGTCCTTTGTCTGAAGAGGAGGTGGGGGTCCTGACAGTGTTACTAGCCTTTGCAAGGACCTAGCTCTGAATTGCAATTTCTTCACTGACTTAACCCAAGACTGGGCAGGCTGCTCAAAGCAATGGCTGCTTCACAGCTCGGGCTACTGAAACATCTCACTGCATTGAGAAGTTGCTCCTCATGGCTTCTGTCCTACCTGCTAGCTTCAGTGAATGGTACTGGCTTAACAGTGGGTTTCTAACTTGCCTCCTGGTCAAAACAATTTGAGGTTGGATGTCTCTGTAGGTCAGAGTATGCTCAAGTGCTTTTGTGCTTTGAAAGCTGAAGAGGTTTTTCCAGCTGGTGACACTAATGGGCTATCCCTCTGGATGAGCTCTCAGACTGAAATGGCTGTAGGTTTCCTATCAAACTATGGAATTGAGTTGAAACTTGAGGCATGAAGTAGCCTCACAGCAGTCACAACTGGACAGGCTTTGCTCTGGAAAGCAGGTATTTGAAGCTCTTCTTTGGTAAGCCTCTGTATGAGGCCTGAGCCTTATTCACAAGACGCACTGCTCCAGGTCAGACCCATTTCAACTTGCTTTAAGCTTCTCATTCATAGGAATCTGGTATTTGCTGGGTGAATGCTGGATGTACTCAGAGTGTACCCAGAGTTTCCTTGGGGGTACACTCAGAACAAGGAGAAGTTAAGCTTATGGGGATTTTTTTGCAGTTGTCTCTGTCAACAAGGAGCTTGGGTTATGAGAGTTGAAGGGAAAGTGCTGGTACAGAGCAGATGCAGTCAGTTATAGCATTTATTGACAGGAAGTGGGAGTTGTAATGAGAACAGGAAATATGCCTAAATCTGTATACCTGTGGACTTTGAAGGCATCCCTGTTTTCTGCTGCATGCAGTTGAGATGGTTAGGAAGGCACTGAGACTTCACTTGTGGTTAAGTATGGATGTACACCAGCTTGTCTTGCTGCTCTTGCCGTGGTTTTGTGCTTCTGCACAACTCTAGAGATTTGGTGCTGTTGAATTGAGTGCTGGGGAGTTCTGACCATGGGTGATGCTACCTGTTTGTGCTGTTCAGCGTAGCCGGATTTGAACAGTCTTCTCATGAAGAATGTGGCTGGTAACCTGATGACCTGGAATGATGTGGGATAAGGGCAATGAGGCAGCTGGGACAGGGTGTGGGAAGCATTAGGTGTTGCCTCTGCATTTGGATCAAGCTGTTGAGACTCTTGGGTGGTAAGTAGGTACTTGCAGCAGGGATGGGGAGTAGTTGCTTTCAGTTTCTGAATACACAGCCTGTGCCTGGAGAGTGGCTGCTGCCAAGTGACTTGCTTGCATAGCAATTCAAAGGCCTTCTTCAGGCCTGATCTAAGATGCTGTATTTAGTGGCTTGGTGCGAGTGCCTCTAAGCTAACAGACTGAATATAGAAACTCCCTTTGTCTGAATGCCTGGTGATCTGAAGGACTGACATACAGGACTGCTTCCTGTAATGGCTTATGAGGGTCACTTGAACGTGTGTTGCATTGACGGTCTGAAGTTGCTACCTTGTGAACTCAGGAGAGGAGGAAGGACCTAAAGGTCAACTCAGTTACCTCCATCAACTGAGTAATTGTTGTTTTAATAGATGAAGCTCTAATAACACCAGTTGGCGTGCTGGCTGTTCTTTACTTGCCTCACCCTAGCAAGGTGTGGGTGACATCCACACACAGTGGAAGTGCTGGAGGGCCTGCTGGGGGGGAGGAGAGCTTGTGTTACCAATATCCCTCCTACGAGGAGGCTCAGAAGACTTGAGATCCGGCTGAAGGAGCTGCTGACTGGCAGAAACTGCCCGATAGTGCTGTGGTACACGCAGTTGATAACTTTCCACTGTGGGAAGGAATCGCCACCTGCCTGTGCTGATGGTGGTTGCAGATCAAACCCACCCTCTAGAACTGGTACGGCTGGTCCATGAGTGTGTCACTAACTCTGACCTCCTCTTCCAGTTGCAACCTGCCTCCAGGTGGATCCCAGTGCAGAACCAGCAGCATCCTTAACTCTTGGCACTCCTGCACTTAGGCCACAATGGCAGGTCGAGGTGGAGCTGCTCGACCGAATGGACCAGCTGCTGGAAACAAAATCTGCCAGTTTAAACTTGTGCTCTTGGGAGAGTCGGCAGTGGGGAAGTCCAGCCTTGTTCTGCGCTTTGTGAAGGGGCAGTTCCACGAGTACCAGGAGAGCACGATTGGAGGTGAGTGCCAACCCCAAATGCCTATGGCTAGAAGATGCTGGCCTCACTAATGCGGTCCAGAGGTATCAGAAGTATTAATGGCTATTTCAATCCAGTCTGGGGTTTTTGTTATAAATAGTCAAGCATCTAATGCTTTAACTCCTGGTTTACAACTTGTTTATTGGTGTGAAGATCGGCGCAGCAGAGAATAATGCTATGGCAACCATGTGCTCTGCCTCTAAGGCGTCTTCACTTCCACTGCTTGAATTCCTGCTTTTAATTAGAACTGAGGCCTTCAGCTTGGTTTATAGCCCTTAAATTACCTTTTTAGACTGTGACGTGGGATTTTGGGGTTGTTTCTAGCCTGATACTGTTAACTACTTCACAGCTCTTTCAGGTCTAGTAGTTCTTTAGCTTGAAATCATTAGCACGGTGTCACCAATCAAAGGTCAGTTGGTGCCTGGGTCTCTGGGCAGTGACATTAGGAGGTGTGTACTGAGAAAAGGCTTGATTTGTCCCTATAGTAACGCATGCGGGGAGTAAGTATAGCTGTAAGTATAGCTTATGGGCAAGCAGGGCTTAATGCTCTGTTGCCGAGGGCCATGTGAACACTCTGCTGTTCTGCTTCAGTCTGTATCCAAGGCTGGTTGCCTTCATCCTAGTTGTAACGCATGGTGTTATACTCACCAGAACAAGAAAATAACCAGTTACTAAATGGGGGAATGCAGTGTAACTGGGCTGACTTCAGTGCTGTGGTGCTCTCCAAAGCTAATCCTGGCCGTGTTGCAGCTGTACTGTATGATCAGTGAGAGGAGGCTGGGGAAGGGACTGGCAGCGCTGTTGCTCCAGTGGCTGGCTGCTGCCTGGGCTGTCAGGGCCACCTTCCTGTTGGCTCTGTGGTGGCTCTTGGGTTCCTGTGTGTGAGGAGCTTGATGATACAGCAGAGCTGCAACTTCCACAGCAAGTGGCACTGCACTGGCCGCTGCCTGGGGCTTCTGCTCCCTCCATGCAAAAGCAGAACTGCTCCAAGCTCCTGGCTCTTGCTGCTGGGCTCTCCAGCTGGAGCTAAGGCAAACATACACCTTCTCTTTCAGCTGCCTTCCTAACACAGACAGTCTGCCTGGATGACACAACAGTGAAGTTTGAAATATGGGATACAGCAGGACAAGAGCGGTATCACAGCCTGGCACCGATGTATTACCGAGGCGCCCAGGCAGCCATTGTCGTCTACGACATCACTAACACAGTGAGTACTGTGTAGGGCCGTGAGCCTTTGCTGGGGAAGGAGGCGTCTGTGCTTGCAGCTGAGGCTTCTCCGTTCCCCAGGAGAGTGTCTGGGTTCAGAGTCCCTGCAGATGCCTGCCTGCAGGTACTGAGTTTCTTGAAAACTGCTAATGGCCTCTTCCTCAGTTCTGACCAAGGCTGTCTTAAGCTATAAAGGACCCTGCTACAAAGTGCTGTAGAGGCAGAACACTTCTTACACGAAAGACTTGTTCTAATCATATCTTCACTGTGGATTAAGAGGCTGCCCTTCCTGACTGCTGCCTCCTGTTTACTTCCAGGACACATTTGTACGAGCCAAGAACTGGGTGAAAGAGTTGCAGAGGCAGGCTAGCCCCAATATTGTAATTGCACTAGCAGGAAACAAGGCAGACCTTGCTACCAAGAGAGCTGTGGACTTCCAGGTGAGTGGGAAACCAGATCAGTTGTTACCTGAGCAAGTCAGGAAAGCAGCTTTTTTGCTTAAGTGGGGGGAGATGGTGGCTGTGTGCAAAATGCTTTGAGGGAGAGTGGAAGTCCAGATTTATGCTGCTGAGGATGCTAGGATGCCACTCAAAGGGAACTGTAGCCTGCCTTTCCCATGCACTCCTTTCACAGCACCTGTAGCTCTTGTTGGTAACAGTTACGATGAATGTGGAGAATAAGGCCCACAGAGCTCAAGCTTCTGTCTTCAGTCTTTTCTGGTGCCTTACTCACCTGGGGCTGTCTTCAGCAGTGTATGAAACAGCGTCTTTTAGATACAAGACACATGAAGAATCGTTCCCAGCTTGTTCTCTACTCTTCACAGCTCTTACCTTGTCTAAGGCAGACTTTCAAGGAGAAGCTCTTATCTCAGGCCTCTGCACAGGATTGCTTGTGGTGCATTTACAGTGTGCATGACTCTCCCAGCTAACCAAAGTACAAGGTGTTGTGCTGCTCGGGACATGCTGTGTCTACATTTGGCTCACAAACAGTCTGTGCTGCTGTACCCCAGCTCGGCCGCTGGGACAGCAGCCATGCAGTGTGGTCAGCAGTGCATGTCTCCCAGCTGTCCTGGCCAGGCAGGGTCAGGGGACCGGGGTGGAATGTCTGGCCTGGGGTGGGACAGGGTTCCTTCAGTGTTTAGTTTGCCAACAAGTGAAGCGTGTGAAGCCTGCTTGGGCCTCCTCTTGGCAGGATGCCTTTAGCACTCTGCTGTGATTGTTTGTAGGATGCACAAACATATGCAGATGACAACAGCTTGCTGTTCATGGAGACGTCAGCAAAGACAGCGATGAATGTGAATGAAATCTTCATGGCAATAGGTAACAGCTTGTGTGCAGAAGGGTGGCTGGAGTAGCTCTGAGCACCAGCAGTGCAGCCCACGGGAAACCACGGGAGCTCCTGTGTCAGCCAGGGTCTGGAGGCTCTTACTGGAGTAGATGACCAGTTCGCTATGCTTTTGTGAACAGTCACTCCCTGAGTATCTGGAGCCTCTGCCTGTTCCCTCTCTCCCTTTATCTGGGGTGGTGAGTAAGGAAGGAGCAGGATTGACAGCCAGAACTAAAAGTGGGTTTGCTTGCTGTGTACTCATGCTGCAAGCAGTGTCCAATCCCAAACTCCTGAAGAGGAGGGCTGAGCCCGGTCTGTGGTGGGGAGGAGGTTGGCCTCTGTGGAGGAGCCTACTAATGTCTTCTTTCTTTCTAGCCAAGAAACTGCCAAAAAATGAACCCCAGAATGCTCCTGGTGGCCCAGGTAGGAATCGGGTGGTTGACCTTCAGGAGAGCAGTCAGCCTAGCAGGAGCCAGTGCTGCAGCAATTGAGCAGCTGTTCCCACCCGACGGAGCCCTTGAATGACATGACTGGAATCCATGCTAACAATCGCACTTACCGTAGAGCGGCTGCTGCCGGTGGCTGCTGTGATTTCTCCATCCCTTTCTGATCATAGGCTGGAGGGAGTTCTTCCACCTGCACCTTTCTGTACAAATACTAATTCAATTCTAAGTCTTAAGTCACTTTTTTAATATTACGAACTTCTGCTCTTCCCTCTTTCTGGTGGTGGTGGATGCATGACCTGGTGTCTGCCCAGCCAGCTCAGCCCTTCCCACGGGTGAGGGCCAGCAGCACCCAGGTCCCACAGTACTGTAGTTCCCTGTTAGAAAGAAAGGGATATTGAGACTAGACAACCTTGTTGAAAATTACCCGTAGGTAAAAGCTAAGGCTAATGCCAGTACAAAATACCTAGAACAACCACTAAACTGTAGCACATAGTGACAAACTCTGGCTTTTTAGCCACTTATTGACCAAAATGAATTATGAGTATTCTGGGGTGGGGCAGAGGGAAGCAAAACTGGTTTCTTCTGTATTTTGTATTGTCTGTTTCTTCATGTAACCAATCAGTATCTTGTCAATATAGTACATACAACTAGCTGCCTGTTGTCTTTATTTGTGTTGGACTCTAGCATGCCAACTCTTTTCTATCTCTGGTTCTGTCGTAATGCACTAATCCTGTTGCAACTTTTGCAAAAATCTTGTATAGAAAATTGTCCTTTTTTTGATGGTTGTGATGCCACTAATGTTGTTAACCCTACTCTAGTGTGAATACACATGGTTTACTGATGTACAGAGGTGGGGTGGGGGAAACCTCAGATAACTTGTCAAACAATTGTATTACAAAAGCCTGTAACTCCACAAAGTATGAAGGGAGGTATTAAAATGGTTTCTGTTGCCACACTCTAACTGATGTTGGCTGCTGCCTAGTGCCTAATGCAATGTCTTATGCATACTGGTATTTAAGAGGAACTGTCAACTTAGTCTTCATCACAAACTTCAGTTTTGTGTGATTAAAAAAAATTTTTATAAACCTATCATAATCAACAATGTTCATGTTTCTTAATCAGCTCAAACCAGAAGGGGAGCGGACCAGAACGTACAGTTGTGCTGGAGGCTGAGATGCGGGAGGCTGCCTGTGGTGTGTACAGCACCCGGCTCTTCTGTCGGGATGCGTGGCCTTCCTTCCCGGGGCAGGGAGGAACGTGGGCTGCTTGCCCTCGGACCTCTGCGTGCTGTGCCAGCTGCTCCTGCAGCAGCCAGCTCCCTCGAGAGGCAGGAACTCCTTGCACTGAGGCTGCAGGTGGTTTGGTAAGCTTGTGGCGTGCTGTGCAGCAGCATGCAAGGAAGTTTGAGGTAAATAGTGGGGAATTTTTAATTGCCTAATGCTTCTAGGGAAACCATCTACGGCTCAAGTTGGGAAGAGGTGGGGGGAGCAGTATGCAGAGGAGCTCAGCTTGATAACTGGACAGGCTTAGGAATGCTGTGTTCAAGTGTTAATGAACAAAATGGATGATGGCCTTGAAAGAAGCTACTCTCCTGTCACTGCTGCATGGACTTGGAGATCCCTGCACCCGTGGGTGAGACCTGGAGTCAATATGGAAACCAGAGCATCCCCTTGCAGCTCTACCACTACTACGTGTGCTGCTGGGCCAGCACTGTAAGCGCTTGGGAGAGCTTGAAGATTGTGATGTGCTGGTGCTTGGGTGCTTGACCCTGCTGCCTCTCCTCAGCTGTGTGGCTGCTGCCGAATCTCTGTGAAGAGGCATGGCTGCAGTCAACTGTGACCATCCCTGGGCTGGGCTTGCCCTTGGCTTGCGGTGTTGGGGCTCTGAAAAGCTCTGCAGGGTACTTGCAAATAAAGTCTGTGTGAACAGCCTTGGCTCATGTGGGCTTCATCCTCTATCCAAGGTCTTGGTGCCTCTTGCTCATGCTGGATTTCCTTAAAGTCCTGGAAGCAGGAAGGGTCTGGAGTGACTCAGTGACCTGGTTCCTGATGCCTGGCTGAAGCATGGGCTGCCTGTGGTGTGAGGGCTCCAGCAATGTCAGCTGGGCTTTGCTCACCTGGTGCTGTGGGTGCTGCTTGTTTCCATCCCTTGCGAGGGAGTGCGACTGCTCATCTGCAGGCTGTCTGTGGCCTCATCGCTTCCACTGTGGTTTGGGCTGATGCTGTGTATTTCCCAGGCAGCAAGAGAGGGACCTGTTGGAGAAGGGCTCCCCAATCCCAACTCTGAACAATCTTGTGAGCACAAAGTGGGGTGCTGTTGCCATCTGCTGGCATCTTGTTCCTGGTTGACAGGGCTTCATTTCTGGCTCCTTCCAGGACTCTGGGTCTCCCTCTCTGTGAAGGAGCCTGCGATGCTCTAAGGGCTGTCTTGCTGCTGCCTGAGCATGTGCTGTTTGGTATCAGGGCTGGGGAGCTGTTGCTGGCCACAAAACCACACAGCAGTGCCCTGCAGACCAGAGCCTCCTCACTGCTGGCACTGTGCTGCCATGGGGAAGGGTTGTCCGAGCTCAGAGCCACCTTAGCACAAACAGGCGTGCCTGCCTGCATACCTGCTGCCTGCCCAGGCCTGAGCATGGGTGTTGACACTCAGTGCCTGGAACTGGGCTTCACCCTCCCTGCTCCTGGGATCCCAGAGGGTGCTCCAGGAGCCCCTTTCCAAGCTGCTTGGTGTGGGAAAGGTGTGGCTACAACAGGGGCACCCTACACCCAGGCCTTCCAGCACAGTTGTCTTCCCATTCAGTGGCATCGGCCAGGGAGTGAGGGGCTGTGGAGCTGGTACAGGTGCTGGCAGCAGCATGAGGAGGGGTGAAGGCAGCTGCCTGCTCCCTGCCTCTGCTCCAGTACAGGTGAATGGGGCTGCCCCTCCCTGCTTGGGAGCTTCCTGCCTCCCCCACCCCAAGCAGCACCGTGCCTGCTGATCCCTTCCCTCCCCCTGGGTCCGCTGTTGGCCCCATTTTGTGCTGCCCTGAGGCACTAAGAGAGGTTCTTCCCTCTCTGTGCATCCAGCTCCTCTGGCATCAAGAGCTGAGACCAGGGCCCAGCCTCCCCATCAATCAACACCAGGAGAGCACAAGCAGGTTCTATGCAAAAGTATTTTTATTGGATACAAAAACATTCCAGTATAGTGAAAAAAATGACATAATTGCTGATGGAGCTTGTCTGGGCTAAAACCCAAGGCTTGCTGCTATCTTCTCTGGTCCTGCCGCGGGCCGTCGGTTCCCCTCCCGTTACACCTAGGCTTTGTGGGTGGCTCCGTCCTCGGAGGCTGGTCCAGGCTGTGGTCCTGCAGGGCTGACCTGGATGGGCACATTCCTCTCTGGGGCGGCCGGCAGCGCCAGCTTGGGGGCCTCGATGCGGAGCTGCCCATCCTTGGACAGGGAGCACGTCAGCGCCTCGGCGTCCACCTCCTCGGGCACGTCCCACTCCCGCTTCAGCACCTCGTACTTGTAGGAGAAGGAGCCCTTCTCGTCTGTGCTCTGCGTCTCCTTCTGCCCCACCAGCACCACCTTCCTGCCCACCACCTTCACCGACAGCTGCTCGGGAGTGAAGTTCTTGACGTCCTGGCAGACGGAGAAGCCCTCCCCGGAGCTCTGGGTCAGGGCTGCGCTGGTGCTCGGGGCTCGCTCTATGGCGGTGGCTCCGTGGCTGGTCAGGAGCTGCTCGAAGCTGCTCATGAACTCCCGAGCTTTCTCCATCTCCTGCTGCAGCTCAGTGAAGATGGTCTCTGCATGCGGCCAGAGGGTCCTCACCGTGCCCAGCCGGGTAGCCAGGGAGCTGGAGGCGAATGGTGCGAGGTGCATTCGGCAAAACATTGCTGCTGGTGCTGCTGCTGGTGTCCTGGTGCGCGGTTCCGGTGTACGCTCCCGGTGCGTGCGGCTCAGCTCTGTGCAGAGACTGAAGCGGTGCTGGGCTGGTGCCGGGGAGCAGCGGGTTTTATCCTCCCCTGCTCAGGGGTGTGCCCCTTCTAGAACACTCTCTCCCCACGCACCCTCCTGGAGCCATCACCTATTTTTGAGAGGCTGATTATCTGTCAGCCAAAATAGCAGCGCCTGCTTCTGGGACGAGTCACACACCGCAAATAGGGAGCTGCAGTCAGCGCCGGGGGCTCGAGTTTCTGCAGAGCCACCGTGATGCA